TATATTACTACACACACACACACACACACACACACGCGCGCGCGCGCGCGCGCGCGCGCGCGCGTGTATACATTTATTTTTATGTATAGTAATGTCTTATCCTATTATTTAGGTATGTCCACGGTTCATGAAGTGATCACCGCTCGACATTGCGATTTAACAGTATTCGCATTCAGTCTGATCACTAATCAGTGCGTTACTGATTACGAAGATCACGGCGAGGCGAATCATGAGGAAGTAATGGACGTTGGTAAAGCGCGACAGCCGATTCTTCAAGAATTTGTGTCCAGAATCGTAATACGTCTAAGGGATAGCCTCCAATTGACAAATTAATTTATTTGAGTTTTACGATAATCAAGATATTCGCTTGGTTACGGGAGATTTCGTTGAGCTATGCGTTTTAATTTTAATATTTAAACAAAGCTTCGAAAAGCTTCGCTTATTAAGGCTTTGCTTATTAAGGAAAAATTGATAGCACAAAAGAATGCTTTAGTATCGTTGTTCTAATGCACAAAATTAATTTTTCGTTAATCCTTCTTAACAAAACTGTCACAGTAATCATAAGTATAGACTTAATGTAGAATAGATTGATTGACAGGCCGGTCCTCGAAATCTCGTTAGTTCCCATCGCAGTTTCTTATTCCTATTTAGTTGGCGTCTGGGTTCTACTTATCTAAATTCGAGTTCGATTCAGATCTCAATTGATTCGTTATCGCGTCTTGAGGGGTCTCGTTGGAGAAGGAAATGAAGAAAGGAAGGGAAAAGACTGAGGTGAAGAGAAGGAGGACTTAAAGACGGAGGGTTAGTCAGCGTTTCCTCTCGATTTTCCACCCTCGTTTCGTTACCCTCATCTCGTTTCCGTGCTCTTCTATCGCTAATGCATCGTCGTTCGATTCCGATAAATCTTAAGGCTTGAAGACCATACGGCACACGAATACCGAATTAAATTATGATTTGTTAAGCGGAAAAATTACGCGGAACAGTTGTCAGAAGCACTTTTTCCTACGGTACGTCTTGAATCTTCAAAAGTTTTACATAACAGTTGTTTTAGAAAAAAAATATTACTTTAACATCATTATTTTCAGCATAACGTAAAAGATATGAAATAGCTTAAAAAATTGTTATACAAATTTACATATATGTAAGATATAAGAAAGAAGTAAGATACAAAAGTAATTAAAAGATTTATTTGTAAATATTATTGTAAATAATATGACATGTAGATAATGAAATTTAATGCATACGCTATTAGTAACTATCAGTAAATGTTACAGAAATTGCATATTGCATCACAGAGTAAAAATTATAAAAATGATTTTTTATTTAATTAATTTTTAACGAAATATGATGCAATAAGAAATTCAATCTTATAATTTTTATCTAAAACTAATTGTTTGGTGTCTTGCACAAATTATAAAAATATATTAATACAAATGTATACTAATGTGTTGAAAACAAAAATTACATTTTATATAAATATTAACTAGTAATAATTAAATACTAAAAAAGATGTATTTTTTATATTTTTATCTACACATATATATTTTTTATATATAAAATTAAATTTTTATTTTGACAACTTAATAAATTAGGCACAAATTTAATATATATTATACTATATAGAGCATGTATACTATTTTTATATATATATAACTACCACTATTTAATGTAATTAATGTAATTAATATATTAAATATATTAATTAAAATAATTATAATACATTTTGAATAAAAGCGTTATAAAAAATAAATTAAGAATTATATAATATTTTTATTGCGTTATATAATACTTAGTTACGTAGTATATAACTTAAGTATTATATAATATATAATATATAACTTAAGTACTATATAATAACTTATATAATATTTTTATTGCGTTTTTTAATCTAATGGTGTACTAAATTATATTAAAATTTAATACTAATAAATTATTAATAATAAATAAATATAAATTTATAAATTGTTTTAGTTCATTTGCTATTTAATTTTAATTTACATGTAATTATTATCTTATGTACTATTATTTATAATTTTATTTATAGATCTATTAGTATGCAATAAATTCTTTTTTTGTTACAAATGATGCTAAGAAATGTAAAAAGATATATAGAATTAAAGAGAATTTTATCATTTTTGTCAATTGAAGAATAATCGATTATGTTAGATATATGTTTGTTGCAGTTGTAGATGCAACGAAGATCAGAAAACAGTGAATACACTCTAATCACATTGTAACAGAATCAACAATACAACTAGAACACGTAACTGATCGCTCACTGAATCAATCGAATAAAATCTACATATCTGAAATAATAATTTGCATCGTATATTGTTATAGAATCATATGTATGTTTTAACTTTAATAGGGAATAGATTGGTTAGGGATGACAGACAGAGTCAGAAGGAAATATTCTCGTTTCGCCCAATGTATTTTTATTCCCTTTTAATTACACGTCTGTACGCGTCAGTATCCATCGGTCGAATTGTCCATCATTCTTCTGAATCAGCTCTCTTTCCTATGCCCTTCTCCTTCGAGATTCTTTGTAATATATCGTTCGAGATTATTCTTAATGACAAATATCTTAAAAACAAACATCGCTTTGAAGGAGAACTTGTTTGTTATTATTGTCATTTATTGTTTCGGGTCGTTAAACGTTTCAAATGTTTTTCAACGCACAGAAATTCTATATATTACAACAGTTTAGCAATAACAATCGCGAAATATAAGTATCGTTCCGAGCAGAACTAAAAGAAATTATTATAATAAGAAATAAGTTTATTCTCGAGCTGATCGGATATCAATGCATGCACCGCCTTTCGCGTATATATATATATATATATATATATATATATATACATATTTAGTACGGTACGATCTTAGATTATTCGGCAAATATTGCCAAATGAAAAAACATGTGGCCATGAGAGTCATGATATAATCGCCACAAACAATTAATTTCCTGATTTATTTTGTAACTTGTGTCCGGCAAAAATATAATTTTGGTATAATAAGATGTAATTATATACAAATATATATAAACATATATAATGAGTCATATATAATTATACATAAATTTATATATAAATTTATATATAATTATATAAATACGTAATTATATATGCTTATATACGAATAATTTTTCACCGGATATAAATAAAATATTATTCAATTTTAAATAATTTTATCGCGTATTTTTTAATAAAAATTCAATGTATCGAGTTGGAAATTGAATAACCAATATGAAAAATAACAAGAAAATTTCTTTTAAACTTCTTTCTCTCAAAATCCCATTTTCGTCGTATCAAATTTTAATCATATTTATGAAACGTTAGATTATTAATTATTAATGCGTACATTAAGAGACTTTATAAAAGTATAAAAGAAATTTATGTCATCTGCATTCGGCTGAAGCGGGTTCTACTATGCATTTGAAAAATATATAATTTCGATGTGCAAAGAGCTCTTTCGATATATAAACATCGTTTCGATTCGTCCGCGGATGGCGCGTGTCGATAAAGTAGAATGCATCTTTACGTTTTCCGCGGGGCTACATCGAGCCACCCTCGCTCCTTTATTCCTCTATTCCGCTCACGATCGCATGACGTCATCGTATGGCGCGCTTCTCCCACCATTCCCCATCGCCGCCCGCCACCTACGGCAGCCGCGGAAGCAAGGCGGCAAGCGGTAGGCAGGTTGGCGACGGCGACCGAGTTACGTTGTATCTCAGTACGTTTGGTGCTGTCGCGGAGTGAGGTTAGGTGATATCGTGATTTTATGCAACTCGCGCTACCGATATGGTCGCCCTTCGCGAAGCGTCGTGCCGCGTCTCGTGTCGCGTCGGTTGCTTAGATTTTGACGGCATTCGAATTTCAATCGTAAATTCTCGTAGATTCACGGCGTGAAATCGATCGTGCGTCGTAGTGCGTCTTTGTCGTGTCTTTGAAATTCGGGTACGTCGTGTTCACCGCTTCCTAGCGAGACGCTCAACCACGACGATCGATGCGTGCATCTTCATTTAATCAATCGCACAGTGCTTTTGAAATATTAATCGCTTTTCAAAGGTTATTCGCGACGTTTCTCGAAAAATTGGTGATTTATTTTTCGGAGAAATTAACTGTCGTTTTTTGAAAAATTGCTCGTACCAATTGTGCGTCGAATTGATGTAGATTACGTTATTGTAAGGAGCGAAGTGGAGTTTGTCAAACTGGAAATTTCAGTCGAGCGTTTAAACTTCTGGTATTAAAGATTGCAAGTTTTATTCATACATTATTCATGCAAGATGTAATTCAAGAACAAGTCGATATATCAACGTGAAGATTTACATATCTAAAGATTTAACAATTCAAGAGTTGAAAAATATCAAAAACTTACAAGTTAAAAGACAAAACTTACAAGTTTCAAAACTTGGACGTTGAAATAAATGAAAATTCAATAAGTCTAACCCGCGAGTTTAAAGGTGAATAAATTTAAATTTAATTTCCTACAATCTCACACACAACTCTAAACACATATCAGGATTTAAAGTTCAAATCCATCAAAGTTTAATATCCATCATTCGCCAATCAGAGGGAAAGAGAAAGAAAGAGGCCTAAAATTTTGAGCCAAAAACTCAACAATGTCTAGTGAAAGACTTGACATTGAGAACTTGAAAGTAACAGTTATCTTCTCTAATAAGATTTAAACAATTAACTATCTGATCATCCGAAGATTTGGAATCTGAAGTGTTCCAAGATTGCGAAACGATAATTAGCAAGTTACTCTAAAGATACAGGATCAAAAATTCCGTGTATGGAAATTTTAAGGATTAAAAAAAAGTTAGATATTTCAACATCTTGAATTTTATCGAATAAATTTACACGAAATTTACGAAAAATCTGTGAGAACATTTAATCAAAAGTGGAACATTTTGATGATTCATCATCAGTGCGTTCTCGTAGAAGGAACTCGCTGTTGGAAGCGAAAGTGAACGGAGAGGAGAGACTGCAGCACGATCGAGAGTGAAACGTGTTTCTGCGAGAGAGTAGGTGTCCATTTGTGGACAGGACAACAAATCAAGTGGTCCATATTCAGTACTGAGATACGGCTGCTTTTCCTCGCTGACAGTGGCGGACAGGTGGACACTCGCTTATTTGAATCTCCGATGCGTAGATCGAGCTGTTCGTAGATCAAACGATCACGTCGATCTCTTTCTGAAAGACAGATAGGGTGATCAGGATAGGACTGATCGCCGAAGGAGCGATAAAACATGTCGGGGCTGCTGAAAGGAGAGCCGACGGGCGGTTGTGTGATTGGCTCGTGCGCAGATCGAAGATCGTATTAGCCCAACTGGCAGTGACGCATGTCGTAAGCCACGTGAGAGCAACGGAGGAACGACACGCTGGACGTCACGCAGGATCAGGATTCGCAAAGAGAGAGTGAGAGTGAGAGTGAAGGAAAGAGAGATAGAGAGAGAGAGAGAAAGAGAGATAGAGATAAAGATAGTCGCGATAGAGAGCTACTCCGAGAGAGAAATAGGCCAAGCGACGAGCCTCTTATTGCTTACCGGAAGTCATATGCCCATACACGCGCGTAAAACGGTAAATAATTATAATCAATCTATAAATTATTATCTATTATAATTACATAGTATGGTGCATTATTATCTAGAACCTTGTGGCATGGATTTTTAAATACTATTTTTAAATACTTTGAAATTTATATCTTTTAATTTGCATATTATTTTCTTTCTAAATTATTTTTATATGTTAAATCTTCTATGCATGAAATAATGAAATTAACCGACTCATATAAAAAAAAATATATTAAAAAATATAATGTTAAATGTTGTAAAATTATGCTTAAATTGTATAGGCTCATTGATTGATTTTTTCGTTATTTCGTGAAAACTTTGCAAAACATTTTATGTGGAAAAATGAATATTTGAAAATCGTAAAATATCGTCAAAATAAAATATAGAATATCTCATATATTATTGAACTTTTGATAGCTTTAGTTAATATTCTTTAATATTTTTCTAGAAGCAGAATGGCAATATAAATTAATTTATGTTAAAAGAAATTATTTTATAAATTTTGAAAAATGATTAAATGATTTTATAAAAAGATATCATAGATATTATAGAAAAATATTCGTAACCTGATCTCTTGATAAAATCTTCTACTGCAAAATATGACGATACCTTTCTTCTTCCTAAATTTATATAATTTTTATTTAAAACTTTTTGATTTATAATCCCAGCGAACTTTAAATACGACGATTAAAAAGAGCTATCCTTTACTTTTAAGTTAAGATATTAAGGTAGACATTTTTATTTTAGCAGGAAATATAGAATGTAGCAAAAATTTTTCGATAGGTTATAATTATTTTTATAATTTCACAAACTTGGAAGTGAGAAGTACCGCTTTACATGGAATCTTGATATCGATTATCTATATCCAGATTTGATATTAGCGTAACAATTGATATAAATCATAAATTAAGCATAGAATAAAAATTTTAATATGAAAAAATAAAGTCACAGACCGAAGAGCGGCTAATAATTTGCCTGATAGAGAAGAAAAGCTTCGGTGGCATGCGATAGGCCTAGCGATGCATGAAATTGGGTAAAAACGAATCGACGATGGCCAATCCGGCAAAATCATTCGTGAAACACGATCGTGTCCCACGCGAGTTATGCGGGTATCGGGACGCGTATCGTGAAGACGGGGATAAAGGGGTTGAAGAGAGGGAAACGGCACGCTCGAGGCTCGAGGGCGGAAAAGTGTAGAGAGGGATTATATTCGCGTGGCTATAAATACGCCACCAGGTAGATGGAGATTGTACCGGATGGCGTAATTGAATTAGAGCAGAGACGAGCGCGTAAAACCAGTCGACATTCGCGGCTCTTCATTCGCCACCGAGTTGGTAGCAGCGATGGTGCCGAACCGAGAGGACGATGCACGGTGGTAGTGAAAGGATGTGCTGCAAAAATTCAAAAAAGAGTCAAACATTAAAAAAATGTGGACGGAATTGCTATTTTTAAAAATAAAATGATATTTTATCATCGTTCAAATCATTTAGCTATAGAATATTAAAAAAATAATATTTAATCTTTTGTGAA